ATAATAATAATAATAATAATAATAATAATAATAATAATAATAATAAATAATGATAATAAATAATGATAATAATAAAAAATATATATATTTTTTAATTTAACCAATATAATGTTATAAAATTTATAAGAGAAAATTTTTATTATTTATCTTCCAATATAATATTGATTTTTGTAATATAAATTGGAGTATAATCATGTATGTTATGTTGAACCTATACACTAACTTAGAGAAAAATAATAATAAATTAGCTGAAAGTTATCTAATTTAAAAAAAAAGAGAAACTTAAACCATAAAATATGCATGACAACTTGCATATAAAAGCTTCAAAGAGCCCAACACATATATCCATGGAAGAAAAGAACAGAAAAAAAATTTAAAAAATTAAAAATAAAAGCTATCATTTCCTAAAGTTGCTTGCCAGCTACATAGCCATCCCTGGACTCTTGCATCCATGCATTATCAAATCGAAGTTAATGCAAACCCAACTTATAAACCACTAGTCATTTCTTTCTCCATTGGATAAAACTTACGTCCTACTTTTATAGAAAGTAAGCACCATACATTTTTTATAAGATAAAGATATCATTCAATGAGTATCTTCAACCATTTGGGCAAAATATTTTTTTAGAGGGGTCAAAATTTTAAATTTGTCTTTTATATAGGCTTTATTTTTTAGGGTGGGCATTTGCCCACCCTGGGCTCTATGAGGATCCCACCCATAGTTAAAAGCAATAAATTGAATTAAATTGCAAAAACAAAATTTTTAATAATTTCATTTGAGTCATTATTTTTCATATAATCATTATATAATCATACCAATGTCTCTAATAATATTATTTTTATAATTATTGGTTATTAAACATGTATCACTAACAAACAAAATCTTGCGCCTCAATAAAATAAATGACTCATATGTCAAAAAAAAATATTTAACAAAAACAAATTTTTTAATAAAAAGAAACGGTTACAACATCAAGATGGCAAACCAGAAAAGAAAAAAAGGCAAAATACATTGAGAATTGGGCTCAGTATTTGGCCGAGGCTTCCAGTGCCCCATACGCCTCGCACGGACCATCCAGTAAGGTGATAAAAGCGCCCAGTATTCGACCAACTACGAAAAGCACCAAAGGTTGCCACCAGCAAAACGACGAGGACACGAGCCTCAGCCACATCATAGCCCCACTAATATGTCAAATTTAAATAGTTAATGTCTCAAATTTGAGACAACTTCAATTCAAAATGCTAACTTGTTAGTCCAAAAGTTATAAAACAAAGTTAATAAAAAAAATTATCACGTTTTCTCTCTTAATATTTATTTTCTTTTCTCTAATATTTTTATTTGATGCATTATTAGGAAATCCGTTCAATCATGCATGAATCATAACAAAAGTATGTGATTTGAAAATTTTCAAAATTAAATCTAGGATCATTTTAACTTTGATTTTTAAAAAATTATAATCTAAATGAATATTTTAATGAAATAAACAGATCGACAACAAAAGGGCTTTGATCTGAGACCATATGATCTTAAATTATGCATTCAAAGCATTGTTGGAAACTTCACTATAGTGCTTGAAAAACTAATCGATCTTCAAATATTATATGCTTATAATCAAAATAAAAGTCTGAATAAGATGAATCTAACAAGCTCAAATTTGCTCAATTATGATGTCAATAAAATACTTAAATATTTAAAGAATAGTCCTTGATCAAAGAAATCAATGTGGACCATATAATGGAATGTTCAAGAATTTTGGCTATAAAAATAAAAATGCGCTCCTAAAATATATAATTAGGTCACATTATTCACATAAGGGGAGCTTGGAGCTCGACCCGAGATAGAGTGGTAGAGAGCTCTAGTTAATTGTCCTCAACCGCCATTGCCACACCATTGTCACTCAACCACAACAATTCAATTACCATTATCCAACCACCATTATCTGACTACTATCATTTGACCACTATCATCGTGTTAATCGTTCGACCACTATCATCGACTGCATCTCCCAACCACCATCACCTTACATATTACATTGTTAATGCTCACCCACTTCATCACCAATGATTTCTATACATGAAAATTAACAAAAATTATACATGTAGACAATAATATTGACACAAACCATCGCCAACAAGGTTGATGCACAATCAACACTAAATTCAATGCAAGACATCATCAATAAGACTAATGCAGATCATTGACAACAAGGCTGATACTTACTGTTGGTATCAACCTTAATGTCCAAAATTGCCAATAAGGCTAATGCATAATGTCAATGCACTTAATCACCCAAAAATACTAGCACACAACATGAATACCAAGACTTATACTTGAATTCTTAGTCTTTGGTTTTGATCGGACAAATCAC